ACTTAGTTCCCCTCCTAGGGGACTCAAACAAAGTTGAATACTCAATGAATTCAACCCTTACTCCATAAACATTTCAGTAGAAAAATGAATTTTTTTATCTTATCCCCTATTCGTTTAGATAGAATTTCAATTTCATTTAGACAGTCTCATAATCAATCATTCATCATTGGACAAATTATGGATACAAATAATATCCAAATACCAAATGCGCCCTCTATAGAATCCCCGTGAGATAGAAGAATCCCTTGGTAAGATCAAAGAAAGAACTTTTTCGTCCTCTGTAAAGAATTCTTCTAAAAATTCTGAACCTAATCTTTTCAAAAAAGCACGTACAGTACTTTTGTGTTTACGAGACAAAGTTCTAGCACAAGAAAATCGAAGTATATACTTTATTCGATACAAACTTTTTTTTTCTTGAAGAGCCACTATAATAATGAAAAATAGTTCTACAGATACGTCCAAATCGATCAATAATATCAGAATCGGATAAATCGGTCCAGACCGACTTACTAACGGGATGCCCTAATACATTACAAAATTTCGCTTTAGCCAACGATCCAACCAGAGGAATAATTGGAACTGTGGCATCGAATTTCTTAATAATATTCTCTATTAGAAATGCATTTTCGAACATTTGACTCCGTATTACTGAAGAATTGAGTCGCACATTTGAAAGAAAACCCATAAAGTCTAAGGAATGGTTTGATAATCGATTGATATAGACTCTTTTTGGTTGAGACCACACAGAAAAATTACATTGCCAGAAATGGATAAGGTAATTTTTCCATTTATGCATCAAAAGAGATGTCCCTTTTGAGGCTAGAATTGATTTTCCTTGATACCTAACATAATGCGGGAAAGGTTCTCTGAAAAGCCATAGGATAACCCCAAAATCCTTAGTAAAAACTTTTACTAAATATTTTAGTTTTCCGTAGAAAAAAATTCGTTCAATAAGGGTTCCAAAAGAGGTTGATCGTAAATAAGAGGATTGGTTGCGGAGAAAAACAAAAAAAGATTCGTATTCGCATACATGGAAATTATATAGGAACAAGAATAATCTTTGATTCCTTTTTTTCAAAAAAGAAATGAATTCCTTTGGAATAATAAGACTATTTAAATTACGAAACTCATAAAGAAAAAATCTTACTAAATGCAAAGAAGAGGCATCTTTCAACCAGTAGCGAAGAGTTTGAACCAAGATTTCTAGATGGGCAGGGTAAGTTATTAATATATCTAACACATAATTTAAATGGAAGAATTTGTCCTCTAAAAAAGGAAATATTGAATGAATAGATCGCAAATTATGAGATTTTACTATTTCTTTTTGTTCTTTTTCCCCGCAGGCAGATATTAATAACGGGGAAAATGGAATTTCTACAATGACAGCAAACCCTTCTGTCATCATTTGCGAATACAAATTCGTTTTGTGCTTGTACCCCAAAATATCATTTTGGCTCGAATCATTAACAGAAAGAATCAAATGATTCTGTTGATACATTCGAGTAATTAAACGTTTTACAATTAGTAAACTATATTTCTTGTCACCCGAATTTTCCAACAAAATCGCTTTATTGAAACTATGATCATATGCAAATGCATAAATATATTCCTGAAAGATAAGTGGATAGAAAAAGTTATGTTTCCAAGACTTATCTAGTTGTCTATGTCCTTGGAATTCTTCCATCTCAATTGATCCCGAAAACAAAAATAAAAATAGCAGGTTTCTTGGGTTATCAAATAATACATAGTGCGATACAGTCAAAACAAGATATTTTATTATGAAATAATAGATACCTCGGAGATGGGTAAATTTATCAGCAGACTCTCTATTTTTGTTGCATCTAATTGGTTTTTTTTTGTTATAAGAAAAAAAAAATTAGATGGTTAGAAATCCTTTATTTTTTAAACCTAATCGCTCTTTTGATTTTGGAATTTAGACTAAAGTTTTTATCAATATACTCTTTCTTCTACACATTTCTCGCTATCCCCTTATGTATAATGGATAATCGAATAATTAGGATTCGCTATAAAAAACAAAGCATCCACTCGTGGGAGAATCCTTTCCCGCATCAGTTACTAATTTATTTTAACGTCTAATTAGACCGGGAAATCATTCAAATTATGAAAATAAACTCGTTGTTCTTTCTTTCCTCAGAATTTGAACCATAAGGTTCGATCCATTTATTCAATTGACCCAACTTTGAATTCATTTCGTTTCCTTGCAACAATTCAAATAGAATTGTATACCAATTTGGTAAGAATGAAATATTCTCCGAATTTTATATTGATACGACATGCTCTTTTTTCCATTCATTTCCTTTCAGGATCAGTCGTGGTCTTATAAACTCTACCGATGATGTAGACGAATTCTTTGCTTCATCCAAATATGTAAAAGATTCTAGCCGCACTTAAAAGCCGAGTACTCTACCATTGAGTTAGCAACCCGAAAAAGAAATAGATATGTTATGTAGATACAATCGAGATAAAAAAAATGGAATGGAATCAAAACGTCGAATTAGGAAAAAATCCAAACAAAGTTTTCGAATCGATTCCGAACATAAAAGCAAACAGATCAGATGACAATCAAAAAATTTCTTAGAGAAAATACATTTCTAGACCAAATATTATTATCTATTTTTTGGATCCAAATTCTATATTGGAAAAAATCCAACACACCCTTGAATAAAAAACCTATTTTTGGGGCCTAAGACCGAAATAAACCATTTCATTTTTTCTACTTATTTTGACTTCAAAATTGAATTATATTTGTTCAATATACTCTTGTCAATATAAATAGAAAAAAATACAAATATTAATATTTTTGAATTTCGTTATTTAATATTATTTTTATTTAATTTAAATATATGATTATGATAAAGATTTTCTTTAATCGAATTATTCGAATATTATAAATAGAAATACGATATATACAATATATAATATATTTGGAAATCGAAGTTGAAAAAGTCAAATATATAATATAAGAAAATTTTTGTGTTGGATTGGCACTACATAAGAAATCTACAAGAATAGAAAAAGAAGAAAAAAAGTTCTACCAAACTACAACCGCATTATCTTTGTTTTTTATTTGATTAATTGAACTTCGTTTGATTAAGCCGAAATTCTTTAAAAATCTCCGCCCTCTTTAAAATATCATAAACAGTTTCTGTCGGTTGAGCACCTTTTTCAAGAAACTGTAGAATAAGAGGAACATTTAAATAAGTTTGACTTTTTATCGGATCATAAAAACCCACTTTCTGCAAATCTCTTCCTTCTCTTCGGCACCGAACATCAATTGCAACGATTCGATAGACGGCTCATTGGGATAGATTAGATCAACAACACCCCCTTGGAAACGTATAGGAGGTTTTTTCCTCGTACGGCT